CCGCCTCCCCATCTCTGCTGTTTTCCCAAACTCCGATATTCTGTGTGCCAGGGGCCATCATTTGGGGTAACGTGCCCCGAACCCCATCGCCAGGCACCTGCCATTCGCATGGACCTTGACCTCAGTTCCAGCCACTACTGTGAAGTTTCCAGGGAAGGAAGGGGCACCGTCCTTGGCGGAGCCAGACCCACCGATTCGACCGGGCGGGACCCGTGCAGAAAGCCTCGGCCTTGGGAACACTGACTCTCAGGCGAGGGAACAGCATGTGCAAAGGTCCTGAGGCAGCAAAGAGGTCGGCCTGTGCCGGGCGCTGCGGGGCAGCCAGAGAGGCTGAAGGGGAGCGATGTGGCCCTGCGGGGATTCAGAGAAGTACGTGGGTAAGAAGGGGGCCTGAAAACAGATCTCAAGGGGAAGACACGGAAGGGCAAGGCCCACACTCCGAGGTTCGGGAAAGGAAGGCTGCACGTAGCCTTGGTGGAGTGGTCGGAGGCCCTTGGGCCTGGTCGTTGGGGACAGAGGTGGTGATAGCTGTGCTGGGGTGGAGGTTGTGTTGTGTTCGGGGTGCAGGTAGGGGTGACGGAGGCCGTGCCGGGGGACGTGAGCACTGGAATGAGTTTAGGTGTGAAGGGAAGGGGGCTGTGGAAGGCAGGTCTTTATCCGGTGTGGACAGTCAGGGGCGGCCTGGACGCACGCCAGCTCCATTTTCCCTCTGCTCCTGCCCCCACCCCCCATGGCTTCTGGAAATACCGGCAAGAGCACCCTCCAGAGTCTGGGGTGTGAATTCTGTCAGTGCCCCCCCCCCATGCCTGGTGCTCTCTCCCAGTTGGAACTGGATTCATGATGCTTCATTAGTGAGAAGGGATTAGAAACGGCGGGAAGCAATATAAATGCTAGTTGTGGCTGGAGGGACGGTCACCCAGCGCAGGCCCCAGGTTCTCCCAGCTCCCCTCTGGCCTCTCTCGGGGCTCGGCCGCACTTCACGGGGAACACGCCGGGCGGGGGTGCCGTCACCTGCCCGGCCTTTTCTTCACAGTGACCGTTTCCACTACAGCCTTGTTTCTGGGTTGGAACTGCCCGAACCCGGGAATGGCTGCAAGAGCTCGCGGGGCGGGGAGAGGGGGGAGAGGAAATAGCTGGCGACCGGCAGTTAACAGAGGAGGCCCGGCGGCCCGTGGGGCCGGCAGATCGCCTGCACACACGCAGAGACGGGCACGGGTGAGTCGTGGAGATTTCCAGGTACATCCCCACCAGGCCCGTGACTCTCACTGCCTGGGCCGAGCGAGAAAGGGGGGGAGGGCCCGACGGACAGCAGGAGAAGGGGGCTGGCGGCTCCGCTCAGACCCCAGCGGCGCCCCCAGGAGCCTTTTCTTATTGGCAGGGCTTCTCATAGCAACCCTTCCCTAAAGCAGCGTTTGCCACGCGGGCATAAGCTCACGATCCATCTCTCACACGATCTCCTTTTCCGGGGACACTCTCCCCCCCCCCCCCCCCCCCCCCCCCGGGGGG